TCATTGACTGAACCTAGTTGATATATGCATTTAGGAGTATTTGGAGTTGTTTGTAAAAATTCGTGGAATTAAGCCTTCCCTTGGAGCATTACCGACCCTCTGCTGGTGACTTGCCGTGATCGTATAGTGGTTAGTACTCTGCGTTGTGGCCGCAGAAACCCCGGTTCGAATCCGGGTCATGGCGTGATTTTGCCCAAAAAACATGAAAAATTCATGTTACTACTTGATATTTAACTCATGATATGTACGTTGCAAGTGCGTTACCACCATAGCAAACGCTTTCCTCTGGTCACGTAGGACACATACGAACAAGTATTTAATCTAAAATATCTGAAGCAGACCACTGCGCATTCATGATCGAATACACCATGCTGGATTCCACATTCGGAGGAGCCAGTGGCGCAATGGATAGCGAGTCTCACTACAGTTCAGAAGATTCTATGTTCGACTCCTGGCTGGCTCGTGGAATACTTTAGCTTACCTCATGCAAGCTGGTCGAATGTGGCATGCTGCACTGTGCCTATTTTAAATGGTTTGCCATCTACAAACGGCCTTGCGTAAAACTCACTGACCGACAACGTAACTCGTTCAACTTCTTATGCTTTTCACGGAAGAGATGTACTCGCAAAATTGCAGACGATAATGATTTCCATGATCAATACATTTCATTTTTTATGCCACCGTGTTGCCTGTATCTCTGGACGTCGAGCATTGTTGGTCCCATATGGTCTAGCGGTTAGGAATCCTGGTTTTCACCCAGGCGGCCCGTGTTCGACTCCCGGTATGGGAACGCACATTCTTGAAGGCGCATTTAAAAAATCCCAACGTCTCATATTGATCAAGGTCTGGTACCTGCATTATATCATTATGCAAACATATATATTTTTTTACATTTTAGGTTTGAAAGTGCTTCAGTGTTAGTTTGAAAGTTGTCGAATAGACTGTAGCGTGGCAATGTCTTGTTCAGAAGTAGACACAACTGCTCGCAGACCTATGGTAACTTTGGTGTGATTTTGTAGAAGTAGAGTGTCCTACAGTATGGTCTCATTTTAAAATGCACCAAACTACGCAGAGGCAACAAGGGTCAATTCAAGTACTGGTATTTTAGTGGTAACTGCCGATGTAGCAAGCGCCTAAAACAATTCTTGTCATTGACTGAACCTAGTTGATGTATGCATTTAGGAGTATTTGGAGTTGTTTGTAAAAATTCTTGGAATGAAGCCTTCCCTTGGAGCATTACCGACCCTCTGGTGGTGACTTGCCGTGATCGTATAGTGGTTAGTACTCTGCTTTGTGGCCACAGCAACCCCGGTTCGAATCTGGGTCATGGCTTGATTTTGCCCAAAAAAACATGAAAATTCATGTTACTACTTGATATTTAACTCATGATATTTACTTGTTGCAAGTGCGTTACCACCATAGCAAATGGATTTTCTAAAATATCTGAAGCAGACCAGGAGCCAGTGGCGGAGGAGCCATGGATAGCGAGTCTCACTACAGTTCAGAAGATTCTAGGTTCGACTCCTGGCTGGCTCGTGGAATACTTTAGCTTACCTCATGCAAGCTGGTCGAATGTGGCATGCTGCACTGTGCCTATTTTAAATGGTTTGACATCTACAAACGGCCTTGCGTGAAACTCACTGACCGACAACGTAACTCGTTCAACTTCTTATGCTTTTCACGGAAGAGATGTACTCGCAAAATTGCAGACGATAAAGATTTCCATGATCAATACATTTCATTTTTTTGCCACCGTGTTGCCTGTATCTCTGGACGTCGAGCATTGTTGGTCCCATATGGTCTAGCGGTTAGGAATCCTGGTTTTCACCCAGGCGGCCCGTGTTCGACTCCCGGTATGGGAACGCACATTTTGAAGGCGCATTTAAAAATCCCAACGTCTCATATTGATCAAGATCTGGTACCTGCATTATATCATTATGCAAACATATATATTTTTTTGCATTTTAGGTTTGAAAGTGCTTCAGTGTTAGTTTGAAAGTTGTCGAATAGACTGTAGCGTGGCAATGTCTTGTTCAGAAGTAGACACAACTGCTCGCAGACCTATGGTAACTTTTGTGTGATTTTGTAGGAAGTAGAGTGTCCTACAGTATGGTCTCATTTTAAAATGCACCAAACTACGCAGAGGCAACAAGGGTCAATTCAAGTACTGGTATTTTAGTGGTAACTGCCGATGTAGCAAGCGCCTAAAACAATTCTTGTCATTGACTGAACCTAGTTGATGTATGCATTTAGGAGTATTTGGAGTTGTTTGTAAAAATTCTTGGAATGAAGCCTTCCCTTGGAGCATTACCGACCCTCTGGTGGTGACTTGCCGTGATCGTATAGTGGTTAGTACTCTGCTTTGTGGCCGCAGCAACCCCGGTTCGAATCTGGGTCATGGCTTGATATTGCCCAAAAAAACATGAACAATTCATGTTACTACTTGATATTTAACTCATGATATGTACGTTGCAAGTGCGTTACCACCATAGCAAACGCTTTCCTCCGGTCACGTAGGACACATACGAACAAGTACTTAACCCTCCCGTTGTCCTCGCATCGTGTACACACCCGGAGTCGAGCGGGTCAGAGTGATCTCTTTTCACAGCCCTCAGATTTTTACAAAAAGGAGGAGGCCAAAATACAACAACGTGCGTGTTTTTCACTGTTATCGGTTTATTATTATTATCGCTGTTAGTAATTATCTGGGAGGACAAAAAAAAAAAAAAAAACACCCTGGGCGAGGCTCGAACTCACAACACCGGCATCTAACCCCGCCGTTGTCCTTGCATCGCGTACACACCCGGAGTCAAGCGGGTCAGAGTGACCCGTGATCTCTTTTCACAGCCCTCAGAGTATAGCCAGAAAAGATGAGCCCGAAATACAAAGACGCGCGCGCGTTTCACAGTCGTCCATCTATTATTACTATCTTTATTAGTATTTTTTGTCGAGGGTGAAATAAAATACCGCGGGGGATGCCCTCGTCCGGGGCCTCTTCATCCTTCGTTTCTGAGACCCGAGGACAGCGGGCAGGGCAGAGAGAGTGTGTTTCTGAGACCCGAGGACAGCGGCGAGGGCAAGAGAGCTTGTGTTTCTCAGGACCCGAGGACAGCGGGGAGGGCAAGAGAGCTTGTGTTTCTCAGGACCCGAGGACAGCGGGGAGGAGAACATGTTTCTGAGACCCGAGGACAGCGGAGAGGGAAGAGAGCGTGTGTTTCTGAGACTCGAGGACAGCGGGCAGGAGATTGTGATTCTGAGACCCGAGGACAGGGGGAAAGGCCAGGACAGGGAAAATTGTGATGGAATAAGGAGATGTACTACAAAGTCAACAAATATATGAACAACATTGCTTGAAAACATCTTACCCAGATTCAACCCACAAAGAAGTTTGCAAAAGTGTCATTGGAATTGACCCAAAGTAAATAATGAGATTGAATATTTTGAGCTACAATGGATTATTGCAAACTTCAGTAAAGGTGGGCCTTATTCGGCCACAACATAATTTCTCGAGAAGGCTCACAAAGGCACTGCCATAGTTTTGTATCAACTACTTCTGAACTGAGACGGAGCCGTTTGAGCTGCCAATGATCTTGCCAGGTCACTTTATTCATGTCATACCCACACACATTGAACTGTCGTTGCTTTTGAAGTGGAATGCTCTGGAAGCACACTAGACTCGTTTGAATAGGATTTGTACTTCAAGCCCAATTGATCAACACATGTCGCAAAAGATAATGTTTTATGCCACGTTGCGTTTCACTGCCAGACCCAAAAGATCTTTTGTCTTATATTCCATCTCAATTTGAGGCAGTTAAAAGCCTTTTTTAATTGTTTACACTGCCCATTGACTCAAATATTACTTTGTTTTACTCTCCACGTATCCAAAAAAATCCAATTTAACTCAGTAAGATAGTCAGTTGTCCATTGCATTGGCCGGGAATCGAACCCGGGCCTCCCCGTGAATTTACCACTGAACCACCAATGCACGAGCTGGCTGGAAACGGAAAATACTCGGCAGATGCTGTCAAAAATGAAAAGACACATAGAAGAGTGAAGCAGTCTTTCTGAAGTAAGGCTTGCAAAAGGCAGCAATCTCCCGTCGGGGAATTGAACTCCAGTGACAGGCGGGGATACTCACCACTGTACTAACAAGGAACTGTTGGAAGCACACAGTCAGACAGGACCGAGCAAATCTTAAACAAGACATGGATGAAAAGATTTGGCTTGAGCTGGAATCGTTTTGTCAAGACGCACCTCTGTAAATGTAGGACCTCTCTGGCCACATTTGTGTTGTTTTTATCTCTCAAACATGCTCACAATCCCTAGTGAAGTTGTTTCTTCAGGTCAGCTAACCCAAATTCTCCTCACAGAAATGTTTTGTAGGTAATGAACGCTTTAAGCAGCAAACAATTTTCCAGAGTTTATGTTAAGCTGACACTGCACGGAACACAAAAGTGTCATTGGAATTGACCCAAAAGTAAATAATGAGATTGAATATTTTGAGCTACAATGGATTATTGCAAACTTCAGTAAAGGTGGGCCTTATTCGGCCACAACATAATTTCTCGAGAAGGCTCACAAAGGCACTGCCATAGTTTTGTATCAACTACTTCTGAACTGAGACGGAGCCGTTTGAGCTGCCAATGATCTTGCCAGGTCACTTTATTCATGTCATACCCACACACATTGAACTGTCGTTGCTTTTGAAGTGGAATGCTCTGGAAGCACACTAGACTCGTTTGAATAGGATTTGTACTTCAAGCCCAATTGATCAACACATGTCGCAAAAGATAATGTTTTATGCCACGTTGCGTTTCACTGCCAGACCCAAAAGATCTTTTGTCTTATATTCCATCTCAATTTGAGGCAGTTAAAAGCCTTTTCTAATTTCTGTGTACTGTAAATGTTTAAACTGCCCATTGACTCAAATATTACTTTGTTTTACTCTCCACGTATCCAAAAAAACCCAATTTATCTCAGTAAGATAGTCAGTTGTCCATTGCATTGGCCAGGAATCGAACCCTGGGCTCCATGCGTGGCAGGCGTGAAGAATTCTACCACTGAACCACCAATGCACGAGCTGGCTGGAAATGGTGCGTTTACGGAAAATCCTCGGCAGATGCTGTCAAAAATGAAAAGACACATAGAAGAGTGAAACAGTCATTCTGAAGTAAGGCTTGCAAAAGGCAGCAATCTCCCCGTGGGAATTGAACCCCGGTCTCCCGCGTGACAGGCGGGGATACTCACCACTATACTAACGAGGAACTGTTGGAAGCACCCAGTCAGACAGGACTGAGCAAATCTTAAACAAGACATGGATGAAAAGATTTGGCCTTTTTTAATTTGTCGCTTGAGCTGGAATCGCACCTCTTTGTGACTGGCACCTCTGTAAATGCTTCTTAGGACCTCTCTGGCCACATTTGTGTTGTTTTTATCTCTCAAACAATTTATCTCAGTAAGATAGTCAGTTGTCCATTGCATTGGCCGGGAATCGAACCCGGGCCTCCTGTGTTGTTTTTATCTCTCAAACATGCTCACAATCCCTAGTGAAGTTGCTTCTTCAGGTCAGCTAACCCAAATTCTCCTCACAGAAATTTTTGTAGGTAATGAACGCTTTAAGCAGCAAACAATTTTCCAGAGTTTATGTTAAGCTGACACTGCACGGAACACAAAAGTGTCATTGGAATTGACCAAAAGTAAATAATGAGATTGAATATTTTGAGCTACAATGGATTATTGCAAACTTCAGTAAAGGTGGGCCTTATTCGGCCACAACATAATTTCTCGAGAAGGCTCACAAAGGCACTGCCATAGTTTTGTATCAACTACTTCTGAACTGAGACGGAGCCGTTTGAGCTGCCAATGATCTTGCCAGGTCACTTTATTCATGTCATACCCACACACATTGAACTGTCGTTGCTTTTGAAGTGGAATGCTCTGGAAGCACACTAGACTCGTTTGAATAGGATTTGTACTTCAAGCCCAATTGATCAACACATGTCGCAAAAGATAATGTTTTATGCCACGTTGCGTTTCACTGCCAGACCCAAAAGATCTTTTGTCTTATATTCCATCTCAATTTGAGGCAGTTAAAAGCCTTTTCTAATTTCTGTGTACTGTAAATGTTTAAACTGCCCATTGACTCAAATATTACTTTGTTTTACTCTCCACGTATCCAAAAAACCCAATTTATCTCAGTAAGATAGTCAGTTGTCCATTGCATTGGCCAGGAATCGAACCCGGGGCTCCCGCGTGGCAGGCGAGAATTCTACCACTGAACCACCAATGCACGAGCTGGCTGGAAATGGTGCGTTTACGGAAAATCCTCGGCAGATGCTGTCAAAAATGAAAAGACACATAGAAGAGTGAAACAGTCATTCTGAAGTAAGGCTTGCAAAAGGCAGCAATCTCCCCGTCGGGGAATTGAACCCCGGTCTCCCGCGTGACAGGCGGGGATACTCACCACTATACTAACGAGGAACTGTTGGAAGCACCCAGTCAGACAGGACTGAGCAAATCTTAAACAAGACATGGATGAAAAGATTTGGCTTGAGCTGGAATCGTTTGTGACGCACCTCTGTAAATGTAGGACCTCTCTGGCCACATTTGTGTTGTTTTTATCTCTCAAACATGCTCACAATCCCTAGTGAAGTTGTTTCTTCAGGTCAGCTAACCCAAATTCTCCTCACAGAAATTTTTGTAGGTAATGAACGCTTTAAGCAGCAAACAATTTTCCAGAGTTTATGTTAAGCTGACACTGCACGGAACACAAAAGTGTCATTGGAATTGACCCAAAAGTAAATAATGAGATTGAATATTTTGAGCTACAATGGATTATTGCAAACTTCAGTAAAGGTGGGCCTTATTCGGCCACAACATAATTTCTCGAGAAGGCTCACAAAGGCACTGCCATAGTTTTGTATCAACTACTTCTGAACTGAGACGGAGCCGTTTGAGCTGCCAATGATCTTGCCAGGTCACTTTATTCATGTCATACCCACACACATTGAACTGTCGTTGCTTTTGAAGTGGAATGCTCTGGAAGCACACTAGACTCGTTTGAATAGGATTTGTACTTCAAGCCCAATTGATCAACACATGTCGCAAAAGATAATGTTTTATGCCACGTTGCGTTTCACTGCCAGACCCAAAAGATCTTTTGTCTTATATTCCATCTCAATTTGAGGCAGTTAAAAGCCTTTTTTAATTTCTGTGTACTGTAAATGTTTAAACTGCCCATTGACTCAAATATTACTTTGTTTTACTCTCCACGTATCCAAAAACCCAATTTATCTCAGTAAGATAGTCAGTTGTGGAGGCCCGGGTTCGATTCCCGGCCAATGCAATGGACAACTGACTATCTTACTGAGATAAATTGGGTTTTTTGGATACGTGGAGAGTAAAACAAAGTAATATTTGAGTCAATGGGCAGTTTAAACATTTACAGTACACAGAAATTAGAAAAGGCTTTTAACTGCCTCAAATTGAGATGGAATATAAGACAAAAGATCTTTTGGGTCTGGCAGTGAAACGCAACGTGGCATAAAACATTATCTTTTGCGACATGTGTTGATCAATTGGGCTTGAAGTACAAATCCTATTCAAACGAGTCTAGTGTGCTTCCAGAGCATTCCACTTCAAAAGCAACGACAGTTCAATGTGTGTGGGTATGACATGAATAAAGTGACCTGGCAAGATCATTGGCAGCTCAAACGGCTCCGTCTCAGTTCAGAAGTAGTTGATACAAAACTATGGCAGTGCCTTTGTGAGCCTTCTCGAGAAATTATGTTGTGGCCGAATAAGGCCCACCTTTACTGAAGTTTGCAATAATCCATTGTAGCTCAAAATATTCAATCTCATTATTTACTTCGGGTCAATTACAATGAAACTTTTGTGTTCCGTGCAGTGTCAGCTTAACATAAACTCTGGAAAATTGTTTGCTGCTTAAAGCGTTCATTACCTACAAAAAATTTCTGTGAGGAGAATTTGGGTTAGCTGACCTGAAGAAACAACTTCACTAGGGATTGTGAGCATGTTTGAGAGATAAAAACAACACAAATGTGGCCAGAGAGGTCCTACATTTACAGAGGTGCGTCACAAACGATTCCAGCTCAAGCCAAATCTTTTCATCCATGTCTTGTTTAAGATTTGCTCAGTCCTGTCTGACTGGGTGCTTCCAACAGTTCCTCGTTAGTATAGTGGTGAGTATCCCCGCCTGTCACGCGGGAGACCGGGGTTCAATTCCCCGACGGGGAGATTGCGGCCTTTTGCAAGCCTTACTTCAGAATGACTGTTTCACTCTTCTATGTGTCTTTTCATTTTTGACAGCATCTGCCGAGGATTTTCCGTAAACGCACCATTTCCAGCCAGCTCGTGCATTGGTGGTTCAGTGGTAGAATTCACGCCTGCCACGCGGAGGCCCGGGTTCGATTCCTGGCCAATGCAATGGACAACTGACTATCTTACTGAGATAAATTGTCAAAATATTTTTTTTTTTTGGATACGTGGAGAGTAAAACAAAGTAATATTTGAGTCAATGGGCAGTTTAAACATTTACAGTACACAGAAATTAAAAAAGGCTTTTAACTGCCTCAAATTGAGATGGAATATAAGACAAAAGATCTTTTGGGTCTGGCAGTGAAACGCAACGTGGCATAAAACATTATCTTTTGCGACATGTGTTGATCAATTGGGCTTGAAGTACAAATCCTATTCAAACGAGTCTAGTGTGCTTCCAGAGCATTCCACTTCAAAAGCAACGACAGTTCAATGTGTGTGGGTATGACATGAATAAAGTGACCTGGCAAGATCATTGGCAGCTCAAACGGCTCCGTCTCAGTTCAGAAGTAGTTGATACAAAACTATGGCAGTGCCTTTGTGAGCCTTCTCGAGAAATTATGTTGTGGCCGAATAAGGCCCACCTTTACTGAAGTTTGCAATAATCCATTGTAGCTCAAAATATTCAATCTCATTATTTACTTCGGGTCAATTCCAATGAAACTTTTGTGTTCCGTGCAGTGTCAGCTTAACATAAACTCTGGAAAATTGTTTGCTGCTTAAAGCGTTCATTACCTACAAAAATTTCTGTGAGGAGAATTTGGGTTAGCTGACCTGAAGAAACAACTTCACTAGGGATTGTGAGCATGTTTGAGAGATAAAAACAACACAAATGTGGCCAGAGAGGTCCTACATTTACAGAGGTGCGTCACAAACGATTCCAGCTCAAGCCAAATCTTTTCATCCATGTCTTGTTTAAGATTTGCTCAGTCCTGTCTGACTGGGTGCTTCCAACAGTTCCTCGTTAGTATAGTGGTGAGTATCCCCGCCTGTCAGGACACCGGGGTTCAATTCCCGACGGGGAGATTGCTGCCTTTTGCAAGCCTTACTTCAGAATGACTGTTTCACTCTTCTATGTGTCTTTTCATTTTTGACAGCATCTGCCGAGGATTTTATAAACGCACCATTTCCAGCCAGCTCGTGCATTGGTGGTTCAGTGGTAGAATTCACGCCTGCCACGCGGGAGCCCCGGGTTCGATTCCTGGCCAATGCAATGGACAACTGACTATCTTACTGAGATAAATTGTTTTTTTTTTTTTTTTGGATACGTGGAGAGTAAAACAAAGTAATATTTGAGTCAATGGGCAGTTTAAACATTTACAGTACACAGAAATTAAAAAGGCTTTTAACTGCCTCAAATTGAGATGGAATATAAGACAAAAGATCTTTTGGGTCTGGCAGTGAAACGCAACGTGGCATAAAACATTATCTTTTGCGACATGTGTTGATCAATTGGGCTTGAAGTACAAATCCTATTCAAACGAGTCTAGTGTGCTTCCAGAGCATTCCACTTCAAAAGCAACGACAGTTCAATGTGTGTGGGTATGACATGAATAAAGTGACCTGGCAAGATCATTGGCAGCTCAAACGGCTCCGTCTCAGTTCAGAAGTAGTTGATACAAAACTATGGCAGTGCCTTTGTGAGCCTTCTCGAGAAATTATGTTGTGGCCGAATAAGGCCCACCTTTACTGAAGTTTGCAATAATCCATTGTAGCTCAAAATATTCAATCTCATTAT